AAATTTTAATTTAAAAGAATATTAACATTTTATATATTTTTATTGTATTTACCTTACCATTTTAAAATTAAGAAACAATACTAAAAAAATGAATACTTATTTTAAGTATTTTATTTTGTAATTAAGAATTATAATCACGAAATACTTCCAAAGAAATATTATGTTTTAATGAATTATGTAAGTTTATTTAATAAAGAAATTAATTATTTTGTTTTATTTATTGATAGTGATTTGTGATTTTAATCAAATTAAAAAATATTTACTATTTGCTCACAAAAATATTATGATTGTATTATGTTAGTATACTATAGGGCAACTTGCATTTGTAAATAATTTAATATTCATATCTGCCTTAAATGTTGTACTTATTAGTAAACTAATTTATGTGTTCAATCTTACATTCCTTCAAATATGAGTTTTCTTAGCATTGATGTTATTTTAAAAATTTTGATTTTTTTTTTTTTGTTTCAGTGTTAATTTCACAACTGTTTGAATAATGTCGACTAATGATGCAAAAAAGAAGAAGAAGCCAGTTGCCCCAGCCAAGGATAAAAAAGGGCCTGGTAAAAAGGCTATTGCTGCTTTAAAAGAAGTATTACAACAACAAAAAGAAGAAGAGGAGAAACTTCGTAGAGAAGAAGAAGAAGAAGAAAAACGTTTAGAAGAACTTGAGAGACAAAAAGAAGAAAAAATAAAATTAGAACAAGAAAAAAAAGAAAAGAAAAAACAAAAAGAAAAGGAGAAAAAGGAAAGACTCAAAGCTGAAGGGAAGTTTTTAACTCCTAAACAAAAAGCCGATAGAGCCCGGGCACAACTCCTTTTAGAAACTTATAAAGCACAAAGTGAAGCTTTGCGAACTCAGTCAACTGTAGACAAAGTAGATGAAAATGATGAATCTGAAAAATCAGATGATGAAACTATTCATAATTCTGATGACAATAAAAATGATGAGGCTGTAAAAGTTCAAACTCAAAATGGAGGTATGTCAAAAGAAGAAGAAGTAAAATCTGATCTTCGAGCTGCTGTTGTATGCGTTTTGGGTCATGTAGATACTGGAAAAACTAAAATATTAGATAAGCTTCGAAGAACTAATGTTCAAGATGGTGAAGCTGGAGGTATAACTCAACAAATAGGAGCTACAAATGTTCCACTTCATGCTATAAAAGAACAAACTAAAGTTGTAAATGGTTATGCTACTAAAAAGTTTTTAGTTCCGGGTTTATTAATTATCGACACACCTGGTCATGAGTCTTTCAGCAATCTCCGTAATAGAGGCTCATCATTATGTGACATAGCTATTTTAGTAGTTGACATCATGCATGGTTTAGAACCACAAACAATAGAATCCATAAATATACTGAAGAGTAAGAAAACCCCATTCATTGTTGCTTTAAATAAAATTGATCGATTATATGATTGGCAAACTAATCCACGTAAAGATGTTAGAGATATTTTGAACTCTCAGCATTCAAATACACAAAACGAATTTAAAACAAGATCCCAAAATGTTATATTACAGTTTGCTGAACAAGGTTTAAATGCTGCTTTATTCTATGAAAATCCTGATCCAAAATCGTATGTGTCTTTGGTACCTACATCTGCTATTACTGGAGAAGGAATGGGAAATTTATTAGATCTAATTGTTGAAAATTGTCAAACACATTTATATAAAAGACTTGTTTTCAATACTGAGCTGCAAGCCACTGTTTTGGAAGTAAAAGCTATAACTGGTTTAGGAACTACTATTGATACTATTTTAGTAAATGGTTATCTTAAAGAAGGAGATACAATTGTTGTAGCAGGCACTGATGGACCTGTTGTCACTCAAATAAGATCATTACTAATGCCTCAACCACTAAAAGAACTTAGAGTGAAAAATGCTTATATTGAGTATAAAGAAATCAAAGCAGCTCAAGGTGTTAAAATTGCTGCTAAAGATTTAGAAAAAGCTATAGCCGGTTTAAATATTTATGTAGCTAACAAAACAGAAGAAATTGAACGACTTAAAGAAGTAGTAGCAAAAGAATTAAAGTCTGCTTTAAGTACTATAAAATTACAAGATAGAGGTGTTTATGTACAAGCTTCAACATTAGGTTCATTAGAAGCTTTATTGGATTTCTTAAGATCAAGTAAAATACCATATAGTAACATACGAATTGGTCCTGTCGTTAAAAAAGATGTTATGAAAGCATCAATAATGTTGGAACATTCTCCTTTATATGCTACTATATTGGCTTTCGATGTTAAAGTTGAAAGAGATGCACAAGAATTAGCAGATACATTAAATGTTAAAATATTTCAAGCTGATATTATATACCATTTATTTGATAAGTTTACTGCTTATCAAGACGATCTTAAGAAGAAAAATCGAGATCAGTTTAAGTCTATTGCAGTATTTCCTTGCAAACTTAAAGTTCTACCACAGTTTGTGTTTAATTCAAGAGATCCAATTGTTATGGGAGTAATGGTGGAATCTGGAATTGTAAAAGAAGGTACACCCATATGTGTTCCTAGTAAGGAATTTGTAGATTTGGGTATTGTAACTAGTATAGAAAATAACCATAAAGCTGTTGAAACTGCTAGAAAAGGACAAGAAATTTGTATAAAAATTGAGCCAATACCAGGTGATGCACCAAAAATGTTTGGGAGGCATTTTGATGAAAAGGATTTGTTGGTGAGCAAAATATCCAGACAGTCGATTGATGCATGCAAAGATCATTTTAGAGATGATTTATTGAAGACTGACTGGCAATTGATGGTTGAGCTTAAAAAATTATTTGAAATTTTATGATAAAATTTTTTATAGCTAATAAACTTTTTTTTCTATGAAATAAAACAAATTTATTATTATTCCAAATTGGAAATGTTTTTTTAATAATTATTCTTTGATTAAATAGATTATCTATTAAAACAAGTAATAGATTTTTTTTTACACAATAGGTACAATAGATATTTAAGTATAACAATTAGAAATGAATAGATACATATTCAAACAGTATAATAAATATTTTCTTAAAAAAGTAAAAAAATTATTATTCAATGGTTGTTTATTAATTTAAACTTTACTATTTTATCTACTGTGATTACTATACTTTAAATTAGATTAAGTGTTAGGTATATAAACTACAAGGGTATAAGAAGTAAGTATGAGTTAGATATTGGATTACTCAATGAATAACACAATATAATAGTATATGCCCATGAATATTTTTTAATCTAAGTGGATATATTATTTAAAAATGATTTATTAAACATGTAAAATATCTTTAAAATACTATAGCCTTTAGGTATGAAGATATTTTTTTTAAAAATTCAACCTAGAGTAATGAAATATTAAAAATTTAAAAGTATTAAGAATACAGTTATATCACTGTTTTTTATTTTAAATACAGAACACAACACAATCAAGTTTAGAAAGTATGACTAAACAAAATGCTTTGAGAATCGGCTTAATTAAATAAATCTATCCTCAATAGGACAACTCTTAAATAAATAATTAATTAATTTTGTAATCTTGATATATAAAAATTAATACTTATATTCTAAAAATGTTAATAAACATTTTTTACAAATTCTAATTGTTACTTAAAAGCTTCAATACTCTTGTCTTATTTAAACAGTTTAATTAAAAAGCATTAAAGGAATGTAATAATATTAAAATGGGTATTCTTTATTAATTATTATACACACACATATATATATACTTTGTTACTGATATTATAAAGTTGTAGTTTGAAATGTTCTAATCTTAGGAGCTATTGAACTTATTTCAATAAGTTTTATCAATCAATTTCTTGTCTTCGCAAGACTAAGGGATGAAGGTGTTTTAAGTTTATTATTTTGAGGTTGGCAAAAAATAGCTCATTTATGAATAAAAAAATTTAAAAAACAAAATTCTGGAATATATTCTTCAATTATATACTTGAAAAATCAATCAATTTAACAGTTTCCTTATGAGTGATTTGTATAAGTTTCATATTTATAAATTTGATTAATGTAAAATGTGAAAAATTAATAGTTTGAACAAAAAACTAATGTAAGTACCTAATATAAATAATGTAATAAATATTGATAAACTCTAACTGTAATTTTTACAATAATATTCTGGAATAGATACCATTAAAAACTAAGCAATTTGTAAAGAGGTAAAATCTATGTTAATTGCTAGGTCCATCTATGCATGACCCATTTAATTATATACAATGTACCTATATAATAATAATAGTAAACATACATATATATTCGTCAATATTAATAAATGAATCATAAACTGATAAGCTCCCAAGTATAATATAACATTAAAAAAAATAATAAATTAATTTGATCTTAAAACGTTCAAAAATTAAGATATTTACTAATTATTATTTTTCATTAAAAACTAATAGATTGTAGTTAAGAAAAAGTGATTAATCAATCTTAAACACTGTATAATTGACGAGCTCTTATAGTTACTGGCTAAAAGCTATTTAACAAAAAGAAAAAGAAAGAAGCTTAAGTATACCTATGAGTTGTTTAAAAATGCATTGGAGAAATAGTTAATAAGCATACAGGATAGGAAGGTAGTTCATAAAACTATATTACCATCAATCATTTATAATAAAAAACGAGTATAATTGAAACAAAAAAATAGTGTAAGTATTTGATCTGATCTGAGGTAATGAAATTGTTTCATAATCAGCCATACAGGTCAATTGTTTACACTTTAATAATATTAAAAATATCAGCTTCTCTATGATTCAATTGAACATTATAACATAAACTACATAGGCATTTAAGTATTGAGTTTATAATATTATTATATGTGATAAAATCAAATCAAGTAAAATAGTGTAATAAGATATTATATTGTAATAGATAATAATTATAGACAATTGTAAATATTTAATTCGAAATCATTCATCAATCATATCATTAAATTTTTATCACCGTTATTATATTTACTTTATCAACAGTTATATATTTTTATTTAATAACACATTGATAGCAGTTCTGGAATCACCAAGCAATTTGTATTATGATTGATATGACTGTCGACTGTCCAGTACGGAGAGTACTAACTACTAACTGACAAATGATTACTTTTTTATTTATTTTGTTTTGGTCAAGTTGTTCGCCAGTTATTCAGTATTAATTCATAATTACGCAAATGTATGTTAAAGTTAATAGTTATTGGTAAATAATGAATAATGTCTGGTCTGTGTTCAATAGCACTCATTATTTCTACTATTAAATTGTATAAGCTTCCTAGCTAACTTTCTAGCTATTGTTAGATTCTTGAAAACTTGAAAGCTATCGAATAGAATTATGTGAATTTTTGATCTCTAATTATTTGAAATTCTGTGTAATTAATTTACACACAATTAATATTCAAATTTTAAACCTCAGTATCTAAGGAAAATTCAGGAAGTCCAAAATGATAAAACATTTTAGTAAGAAATTTACACTATATTTATTGTGTATCATTGGTTTAGTATTTTTTTGTGAATATGGCATTTTTTACGTGGTTTTATCACAAGTAAGAATTTTAACTTGTACATTGTAGTGCATGGTTTAATATATACTTTGAAGTTTTAACTTATAATAATAATAATAATAATAATAATAAAATTTTAAAAATGGTTATAACATAATTTCTAGTGTAATTGGCCTTCTGATAGTAACATGACATCAGAGCAACCAGTTAAAGTAATGTTTTTAGCTGACACACATTTACTTGGTACGAGGAAAGGACATTGGCTTGATAAAATGATACGGTAATTTAAAATATGCATTCAAATATTCCTGAATAACATTTTATATCTTATGTTTATTGATTATTTGAATTTTAAATAAGCAAAAGTTGAGATCATTTAGTAAAAAAAATCAATTTTTAATTTCCTAGTTAATTTTATAACATAGTTAAAAATAATTAATAAGTTTTATTTTTGTTAATCATGCTTTGTTTAATGATTTTAAATAAAAGTAAGTAAATATACTTTGATTTCATAATTTAATTGACCCTAACATGTAAATGACTTTACCACTATTGCCAGTGTGCTATATAGTAAAACAATGAGATGTATTTATCTCAATATATCAAAAAAAAAAATTAACTTTTTACTTGTACTAAGTTAAGGTTAATATTTTTCTCTATATTATCATTAAACTTTTAGAATCAAATATATTTTCTATAAACTATTATCTTTGAATTTAATATTTTCAAAATTAACTTAAGTTAATTTATCCAAATTAATCATTTCATAATTTTCCACATCTTTGAAAATAAGTAATGTAAATTTCATATTAAAAACCTAATTTCGATACAAATTATTTATTTTACATTATGCATGTATGTATAATATATATGCTATATAATATATATATATATGCTTATTAATTAACAATTTATCTCATTTTATAATATTAAAATAATATTTATTATTTTAATTAATTATTTCAAGTTATTTATTGTGATAAAATTCTATTAAATTAATTTGTCAATTACTTAATGTATTTCCAAATTTCCTTAAAAGATTTTTAATAAGTAGACTGTAACTAATTTATATAATAAAAACACTACTTTCTTATAGGTAATTAATATGCAATCATAATTTCTTTTGATTGAGATAGTTATATATTTTTAAAATTATTTCAGAGAATGGGAAATGGGATGTGCTTTTCAAACTGCTATCAAATTACATAAACCAGAACTTATTTTTATTTTGGGTAAATTAATTTTTTTTTAGTAAAAAAAAAAAAATAAATATTTTTATTAACTTTTTTTGTGTAGAACAAAAAGATAGCTTTAATTTTATTTTTATAGGTGATTTATTTGATGAAGGATTATGGAGTAGTGAAAAAGATTTCAACTCGTATGTAGAAACATTTAAATATTTGTTTTCAGTACCATCAACTATCCAATTATATACTATTGTTGGTAATCATGATATTGGTTTCCATTATAGGTATAAATAATTCATATTTTTCTTATTTATTTTTTATTAGAGTAATTAACTTGATTTGTTTAAACAGCGTAACACCATATCTTGAAAAAAGGTTTAATAAAGTTTTTAATACTAGTCCAGTAGAATTGATCAGTAAACGTAATGTTCATTTTGTATCAATAAATAGTATGGCTATGGAAATGGATGGATGTTTTTTATGTCATGCTGCTAAATTAAAATTAAACATCATATCTAGTAAGTTTAAAAATAGTATTAAAAATTGTTATTACTTATTGAATAATGTGCATAAATTCTGACTGTTGTAGAACGGTTAAAATGTAGCCAAAATAAAAATAAATGTTCAAAAACAATGATGCTAGATGGAAATTATAGTAAACCCATACTATTACAAGTAATTAATACCTAAAATGTTGTAACATTATATTTTTATACATCAATTAATATTGCGTTGGTTATTTTTTTAAAGTTTTTTATAGGATTTCATTAATAATTGTTTTTTTCTATATTATTGCTCTTTTAATAATTGATTCTATGGCTATAGAATAAATTAATATTAAAAACAATTATTGTTATTACATTTCATCACATTATTTAACTAATCGTTAATCATGTATCTGTTAAATGAGTTAAGTTTAAGTATAAATTATATATTTACGTATTAAATAAATGGTTTTTTTTTTTTTAGTTTGATTGTTTATAAAATTTGTAAAATTTTATAAAAATTGTAAAGTATTCAAGAATGTTTAAGATTAGTATATTTATGGTTAATTATGGCAACAAATAAAAAACAATAGTAACATTTTGTATAATTTATTAATATGATTTTTTATGTATATATAATTTAATTAAACCATACCTCTATGTTTTATATTTCAGCATTTTCCTCTGTATAGAAAAAATGATATGGCGTGCAATGAACCAGATTCAGCTTCATTAAAAGAAAAAGAAAAACCATTTCGTGAAGGCTGGGATTGTCTACACAAAGATGCTACAGAAAAGGTATTGAATAAATCTAACCTAATTCACAAGTATAAATTAGTATTTATTATTTATCATTTAAAAATTAGTGATTAAAAAAAATATTATTTTATATTGTGCATACCATTAAAAGAAAAAATGTATTAACATTTTTTTTCCATTTATAAATAATGTCAGTGAGGATATAATTTTAATTTTCGTATAAATACTTAATATACATTTTAAAATTTAAAATTTAAATAACTATCATGGTTATAGATTTTTTATTCGATTCAAGTAAATTATCTATTTATATGTTGAATCTTAAATATTTTTGGAAGAAACATTTATTTAGTAATAGTTTCTGAAATGTTATATCAAAATGTATTATTATAATTTATGCATATATATTTGATTGCAGTAGCAGTAGTATTTGTATAAAACATGTCTTGCTGTTACTGCTATTCACAAAACATTTATTTTAAAATGACTTATTCTGTTTTAATGACTACATAAATCAGTGAATTACTTGTCTACAAAAATTAATTTTTATAATTAATGTATTAAGTTCCCTTTAACACTAGTAATTACTCCCAATCTTTCAAAGAGTATATGAAGTTGCAAACTAACAGTATTTAGTACTCTATCTAGGCGCCATTGGTTGAATAATATTCATGGTTGACTATTTGATTAATTAATGTGTTAATTAAATTAGGACACTTATTCATACTGTGTTTTCGGTTTTACAAGAAACTCAAGAGTAATAACTGATTCCATAAAAAGTAATTAGGAAACATAGCTATTACAAAAAAAATAAAAAATACTATCATTTATTTTTTGAGCAGTGAACAACATTGTGCTACAAAATCGGTAAAATAATCTCAATTCTATTTTATTTTTTATTACTCATTGTGTTATTAAATAATCTATCTAATTCATTATAAATAATTTCTTATTCTGTATCTAACACTATAAAAGAATAGCATATGATATAATGATTTAATCACAAATATTTTAGAGGGTATATGGCATATTACATCTAGAATATTTTTGTATCTATGCCTATGAAATGCTCATTAGATTGAATATAATATCTACAAAAAAATCTTATTTTTTTAATTTCATTTTTAGTATGTCATATTAATTACTTTTATAATATTTATCATTGTGTAATTAGGTAAATGAAAATTTATAAAAAAAAAAATTTTCTGATAAGATTTTATATTAAAGTTATTCAATATTTTTATTTAATTAGTTATTGAAAGTGGTACAGCCTCGACTTGTTTTTGGCGGACATACTCATCACGGTTGCCATATCCAACATGAAAATGGAGTTCAAGAATATAGTATATCTTCATTTAACTGGAGAAATAAATATAATCCAAGTTATATGCTTGTAAGTATAGTGGGAGTTGTAATAAAATATGTTGTGAATTTAACTTTATTATCTTTTATTTCATCACACAGTTAATAAAAAATAATATAAGCTGTTTTTTTTTTTTCAGGCATTATTTTCTATGAATAATTATTCCATTGAAACCTGTCATATGCCTCGAGAACATACAATTATATTTATTTACATAACATCAATTATAATTTTTTTGTATTTTAAAATATTAAAATTTAAACAACCTTTTATCAATAATAATCACCATCTATTACATCGTAAAAATTTAAATCATTAATGTACTCTAATTTATTTTTTTAAGCTGTTAGACAATATTCTGTTCATATAGTGGTTGTTCAGCAATTAACCGGCCAAAACCTAACCTAGAAAGATCTATTGAGTTATATCCACTTTCAGTAATCATTTCCATTATAGCTCGGCCAACAGCTGGTGCTTGTTGTATACCTATTATTAATAAATGTGAATTGATTAAATTATATAAATTACATTAGTGTTTATTTTACATACCATGTCCACTAAACCCAGCAGCAAAATACAAGTTAAAATAGCTTGGATGAGCTCCTATAACACCGTTTTGATCATACCAATTATAATCATAATATCCAGCCCAACTACTTTTGACCTGTGAAATAATTTAAATCATTAAAAATGAACTTCAATTGTTACAAACCATATTTAATTTATAAATTTAATTTCAAACAATGAATTTATTCCATGATAATACAATTTGTACAATTACAATGTCTAATCAAAATAATAGTAAAAATACTTAATAGTATAAAATAATATTGAATATGTATAATATACTACATAAAATATAATACTTTATGTATAATTAGGTATTTCGTGAAATAACACCATTGACACTAGAAGTCTAATACATACATATTTTACATTATATATATATATATATATATATATATATATATGGTTGAACATATAATACCAATAAAATTAGCTAATCAGTAAGGAATAACCGTGAAATTAAGCTAAGAGCAATAAAAAAATATATACATTTTACACCAGGTTTTTCATTATTAATACTTCTAGTCAATACAGAATGACAGAAAATGTAAATATTCTTGTTGAATTGTAATAATTATTTTATTGTATTTATTTGTTTTATTTTAAATTATTTACTGAAAATTGAATACATCTTTATATTAATAATTATTCTTTTGAGAAATTATTTTTTGTTTAAAATTTAGTATTTTTGTGTGTTTTAATTAATTAAAACAAAATATTTAAAGTATTACTTTTGCTTCTTCAAATGCAGGTACTCGATGTGCAAGTGCTGCCCAGATCTCATTTTCAAAAAAATCATGATCAACATCTAAATTAGCAGTATTAGGTTCTTCAGTATCGCACGGCGATTTACCACATATATAATGATTGTTATAGCTGTTGGGCCTACAAATCAAAAGTTTAACAAAAATACTTTTCATTTGATATAATACAAGAAAATAAACAAAACAACTATAAATTAAATTATTTAGCTTACAATTTAATTTATGTTTAATACAAGTACCAAGAAACGTTTTTGAACTTTTTTATTTTCGAGCTTAAATAAATAAAAATAGCTGAGTCCAATATCATGACAATATTAATCATAAATAGTGTTTATTTTTCAATTAAACTATTTGTCTCTGATTAATAATTTTTCATATTCATTTCAAGTCTCCAAATATGTTATTATACAACTAAATTAATTTTTAAGTAATGTTTATCCTAATAATAGAATGTCCTTGGACATCACAAAATATTTGATTATAAGTTAGGTACCTAAAATAAACTCCAGATGGATCAATTACCATTGGCGACATTGAAGGACCCTTAGGTGCATGGTAATGATACACAAAACGTTTACTGTAAAATAAAAAATAATGATTATAAAATAACTACTTGATATTTAAAATTAGTATTTAATTACCGAGGTTCAATAGGCAAGGGTGTAGATAAAAATCCTTTTCCATTTCCAACCTTAGCCATTTTAGCAATATTTCCAGATTCAGCACCAGCTGCCACTATACATACACCAAATACTATTTGTTGGGTTTTACCATCTTTTAATTTTACCTAAAAAAAGTCGAAAATCATAGCTTAATTCATCTAATAAATTATATTTAATATGTAATAATAAGTATCAAATATTAAAAAATAAATTTAAAACTAAAAATATAAATATGATACTTATACATACTTTTACGCTATTAATTCCTTCATATTCCTTACTAGGATCTTCTTCCACAACTATGCTTGTATCTATTTTAAATCCAAAATCTTTAACTTCACCCTCAATATAATAAGTTCCTAGAGATTTAGCTTTATTTCTTAATGCATTTAACAAGGACCAAGGATCAAACCTAAACAATTACTTTAATAAAAACAAAAATCTAGTCAATGAAACCTATACTTTACCATCCTGAGTTTAAAGTTCCAAGACTTCCTAATTCAATATCATCTACATTTAACCAAGGGAATTTAGTTTTTAACATATCTTTTGATAAAAGCTCAACATTAGCTTTTAATTCCCTAAAATGTATCATCAAAAAAAATTAAAAATAACAACCATTTTTATAAATTGAAAAAATCATACTTTTGTAATTGATGATTTTTTAACATGGTATCGACACCATTCTTTGTAGCTAAAAATAAATAGCCGGATGGATTGAAATTTATTTCTGGAGGTTCCTGTTCTGGAATAGTCAAATAATCTTTGATATCTCGAAGAAATTCAGCACTGAATTTGGATAATTCAATGTTTTCTTTAAGTGAAAATTGTTGACGAATTCCTCCGCAAGAAAGCACTGTAGAGGCTTTTGCATACTAAAATATTAATAAATAATAATTATTTAGGTAATTTAATTAACTCATGACATTCAAGTATATAAAAAAAAAATTAAATGCTGTATCGTAAACATTTATTAAGAGTTCTCCTGTGCTAGTGATAAATCATTATGTTGATTATCTTATAATTTTCAAACTATTAATTTATTCCATTATTACAAAATTATATGTAAAAAGTGGTTTTGCTTATACCAACACCATATAAAATATATGAATACATGAAGTGTAGTTTAATATATTAATGAAGCAACCAAATTAATATTATAAAATGTTTTCATAATATAAAAAAAGTAGAATACCTACAACAGATATGATATATGAAGTCATAGTGCTCTGTTTCTAATAATATTAGGAATTGGAAGTTAATGCATTTGCATGTTTTTTTGGGCTATTAGATTTATTGCTAAGTAAACTTAAACTTATTTCACAACATAACAAAAAAAAATTATTAAAAATTTAAAATGTATATTTAGTAACTTAGTAATTTTAAGAGCATATTTTTTAAATATATCATTTTTTAGAGCATATTTGATCATTAAAATACAATTTGAAAATTTGACGATAAAATAAAAAACTTTTAATTTGTTATTTATTTTAAGGGTTTTTACTAGATATTATTGTACTATGTTTTTTAAATCCCTAATTGACATACAATTTTTTGTTTATGTATATAAATATTTAGTTCAAATCATAAGAAATAAAAACATTTTTAAAGCATATTTGTATATTATAAGCGCATAAGTGCATGTATATTTAATATTTTATAATTGCTTTAAGTTTCGAACCCTAATGATTAAGTTTAAATCATTCTATTATGATTAACACTTATGAGATTTTTACACTTGAATACATAACTACACATGGATAAAATCTTTCAAAATAAAATATATAAATACCATAATTAAGGATTAGATATCTTAGCATAAAAATATCATTTCAAAATTTAAAATAACTATCAATAATAGTTTAAACTCCAAAACAACCAAATTATATATTATAAGTATTAAATAAAAAAAACTTATATTAATGATTGTATAACATGATACTGAATGATTTTGTAATTTTTTTCAGTTAAGCTAATAATAATAAAATATATATAAAAAAGAAAGAAAATTTCAATTTGGAAATTATATTTAGTTTATAAATTGTGATTGATTTATAAAATTATCAAAATAAATTTATAATATCTATATTTATTTAGTTATAAAAAAAGAGGCGAATGGTAAGTTATAAATTACAAAAAAAGTTAATTTTTCAACTAAAATAAATTTATCAATAAAAATGATAATAGTACACCTAAAAGATTAATTTTTCTAACTCTTAATAGAACTCATTAATCGATACAAAATTAATCATCTTAATATTAAAATAATTAACACTGTTACCATGTATGCAACAAATATTTAATCAACTATAATACCTCTTGAGTAGATATAACTGATTTGTTTACCGTTAAATCTTTTTCAATAACAGCAATTGTTAATCCGTCTCTGCATTTATTTTGAAGCCAATAAGCAATGGATGAACCAATTACACCTCCGCCAACAATTAAAATATCAACAGTTTTTGGGAATATTTTGTTATCTTCATACTGATCATATGGATCATTAGCTTTTTTCCACAATTCATTTATGTCCCTTTTGATTAACCTCTTACACCTTTCCAATGGATTTTCATGAATAGTATCTGGGTCATAATAATTATCTGGTTGTTTTGTGGAAGAATCACTTTTGTGTCTGACAGAAAGACAAATTTTGAAATTACGTCGAATAATAAGACTAACATTACGTGTATACATATTTAAAGGTACTGATTAATGCGCAACAAAACTGAGTATAAGTTTGTATTCAGTTTATGAGAAAGTATTAATGGTTTATCACATTTGCTTATCTTCAAAAAAATACATTTAAACAGTAATACTAATTGCTGCTATTGAAATACTACTAAAAAAATTTAATTAGCACTTGAAATACAAATGTAGTGTAAACTTTATTTTGTTGTTGATAAAATTAATGAAAACACATATTATTCAGATGAGTATAAAGTATATTAAATAATGATTAAATATTTTGATAATTTATCAGTATAACATAACATAACATCACGGATAATATTTAAGAATTAAAACATTTTTAATAAATAAACTTAATGTATTTATATTTTATACTATTAATTATTAATTAACTCGCAACTTCGCTATTTGCCGGTAAGCTAATCTGTTTAGTTTTTACTGTAATCATTTACGATACTAATAGATAACAAGGACGTCCATATTAACATTAGTAATGTCCTAACACTCCTAACAATTATTGACCGATTGACCAAACATAAATGATAAAATTCATTACTTAACTACGCATTAGACGATGGAAAATAATAAAGAAAAACTATTTACCTATCAAAAGGTAAAAGGTTAAAAATATATGTAGTATGTATTTTATTAATATACAAAAGAATTATATATTCGGTCCATAAATACATAATGTTGCAATGAGTTGTAAGATACAAGTGATAAAGTATTATCTATCTAAAGAGAAATAATGTATAATATAATAATATAACATTGATGATTCGAAAAAAAATATGATTTAAAATATAAACGTACCTATTATGAGCTTATATTGATATACCTATTTATTTCTTATGTGACACTTTTTGTTGCATAGGTAATAAATTATTTGAACTCCAACTTCCATCTTCAATACAAAAGAGATTTTTGATAGAAAATTGAATTTAGTATGGTAGATATTATATACTTTGGAGGGTTAAAAAAATTAATTTCTTTATATGTAGGTACTCTTTAAAATAATCGGAAAAAAAAAACAAAAATTATTTAAATACGCTAAACTAGTTTTATCAAAATAAATTCCTTTTGATTTTTGTTATATCTTAAAAACGAATAACCTTACATCTTACGTATAAACTTCAAATGTTTATTAAATATTTGAATTATAGCATTATCCAAACATGATATTAGTATGATCTGTTTATAATTTTAATTTTTTTACTTTTTATTTATTCTACGTGTTAGTACTTAGTAGAATACAATTTTAAATTATTCAAATAAACTTAAAAACTTAGTGCTGACGATTGATTGTTTCTACTGTAGATTATACACTATACAGTATTAATAATCTTACACATCTATTTTAATAATGACTACTCAATTATGAGAAGACGCTTTCGATATCTACCTATTAACCAAGTATAATACCTACCTACTGTAAAGCTGAGTGACTTCCTTGCTTGTTTTCTTTATTAAAATAATAGTTAATAGTATACGTATAATAGAAGTTTGAAAAATATTGAATTATAATTTATCATAATTTTTAACTATATAATATGCACATCAAGTTAATTTAGATATTAATAAATTTTAAAATGGTATTTCTTAAAAAGACGTGGAATATATTTGAACATAAATGACACTAAGACTGTTAATTAGATAAGTACATACAAATGTACAATAAACCATCCACATTCTGTATGCTGGGTGATTTTTTTTTTCAAACAACACCCATTATTTCAAAATCTATTAACGTTTTTGAACGTTAATAAAACATTTTTTTTTGTTATAATTTTTTTAAATTTTTACTTTTTTGAATAACATAGGTATATTTTTAATTTTATATTCTGAAGCAGAATATTTTTCGGAACAGTTTAATATGTACATATTGTACATACAAATCTAAATTACGATGAATAATTAATAAAATACTTTTATGATAAAAATGCATAATTAATGAATGTTAATAAATATTTGGTAATTTTTTGATGCATATATGTATTTACATAATCAAACAGTAGGAAAATGATTCGATCATTAACTTCGAGAATGGTTTTTCTAGAAAATTGGAGTAATCAAAATTGAAAATTATAAGAATTTTTGAAGTTTAAAAATAAAATACTGATATTTGTTAAAATTTTTATATTATTTAAATTATTGTAACCCTGATTATCGAATCGACAACAATGCAGTATGTAGTTGTAGTGCTGGTCATGATCATAATAATATGGTGTTCACGTGAAAGGCAGGAATGCACATTCCTTTGTTTTAACACGAAATACAAAAATGCTTAACTACACTATCGTAATTTTTGAACATTTCGAATTTTTCCTTTTATCTTTACACTAAAATCTAACTTTTTCATAAAAATCAAGTAGTGTCAAGTAAGTAATAGTAAATATTAATCATATTTTCTAAAAATTTAATCTTAAAAAACTAAATGACAATAGCAACTAATTAAAGTTAAAAAAAAAAAAAAAAAAATGTTTTATTTCATTACGTTCTATAAACATTTATACATAATACTTTGTAATCGAAAAACTTTTTTCAAAATTTTGATTTTTAAATATTTAAAATGATTATTATTATTGTTATATTTGTATTAATGATACTATTGGTAATAAAATTAACTTATTTAATTAAGCAACTTTTGATTGTTAAAAATTTTATTAGGTACATTTAAGGGATTATTATTAATGGATTCTAAATAATAAAATCTTATGGTTCTAAGTTATATATACCTAATTATAATTTACAAGCAATCAGCTTACTTTTGTAAATTACAAATATCACAGAGGTTTAATTTTAAAATTGTTTTTTAACTAATATAAATTACTCGTATATTTTTATTATAAATTGTAGAAATGAATACATGTAAAGAATAATATTAAAGGTAAAAAATACACAAGTAAATGTAAATCATAATCCATTGATTTAATATAGAGAATATAATCTATGGGGAATTAGAAATTAGTCCAATGTTAGTTTTTCAGTACAGACAATGGTTTGGTCAATAGGTGTCTGGACAACACTCATGCCTTTTGTAGTTATCAATGGTTTTGATTTCTCATATGGTGGTGCTATTGGCCCTTGTACAGGATTTCTCTGCGTGTATTGCAGACCGTCAATTTCTAAAGGATATGTCTTGTCAGCATCAAAGCCGCTTAAACTACCGCAGGCCACAAACGGTGTAATGACTGGATGCACATCCATCTCGTCCCAGGGCCTTGAGTCGTTGGTCATCAGCGGATTGGCCATGGTGGGAGTGTAGCCATCAGGCAGCAAGAAGTCTCGACATACGACAAATGACTCAATGCTAGAATTGCGTGAGCTACATGGCTTGGCGACAACCACGTCACCAAAAAATATCTCTAGCTGAGCAATAAGCAAGGAAGAGTCCTTACCACGAAAAATCTTTCCTATGAACGTGCCACCTGGCTTGAGCAGGTAAGTGGTGATGTTCATGGCGGCCAGCAGTAGTTGTGCTTGCACATACTCATCTAGATCATGGAGTCCAGTGACATCCGGCGCACCATCAAATACGACCAGGTCCACCAATTGGCCGTCATTAAACTGAGAGAGTATTTCTTTGGCGGTGCTTTCCTTGGTGATGTCACCCTTTAGCTGCACGACGCCAGGGAGCGGAGCCATTGACTGCAGGTCAACCGCAACGATTTTCACGTCATCCTTGCTGCTGCGATCTGAGTACAGCGCCTTGCTCAGCACCTGGCTCCAGCTTCCTGGGGCTGCACACAAATCCACCACTCGGCTGACGCCATCTAGTATGTTGAACTGTCCATCGATCTGGATCAACTTAAACGCACTTCGGGCCCGCCAGCCTTGTTCTTTGGCTAGCCGGTAATATATGTCACGCTTGTCTTTAGACGACTTACCCATTTCACCTGGGGTTGGTGAGTAACGGGAAGACGTGAGCGGCGTTAGTGTATAAAATCAAAAACCCGACACCCTGGATTAACGTATGGTAGCCGGTAGGTACTTATGATTTAAATATTAACTTGTAAACAGTAAAAAGAATAATAACATGATCCCATAACTCATGTATAACAATAATAATGACAACATTGATAACGACATCAAAATCTGTTAAATTCCATCTATCTTGAGATAACGCTGTCCCTAATCATTTATTTTGCTTATGGTAATATTATCATGTCGTTTCAAAAACACTAACACAGTAACACGCCGGGCTTTAGTAGTTGTTACTTGTTAGATTAGTAAAAAGTTTATCATAGTCTATAGACGTAAAATAAAATAATAAATCAGACAAAACAGCCGTTTTTTACATTCCCATAATAATGTAAAGTTTAATAAATTGTTATTATTATGTTTAAACGACAACATATAAACACACCTTTATCGTATAATACAGGTATCAAGTAAAACGTCAAATGATCTAAGAGACAGATTCTCGGCAATGTTTATACAATTTATAGTTATTCTTAAGTATACTGATAAGTGATAAGATTATAAATAAATTGTTTTTCATAACTTCGTACAAAACAAATTACTAACGAAAAATTTAAATTGAAATATACTTTATTAGGTACTACTAGTACTAGCACCGGTGAAACTCGCTGTAAGTAATTAACCTAGGTCGGTGAAACTCGCTGTATGTGAATACTCTAGATAGCTGAAAATCGTTTGAAGTGAATTTTCTAGGTCGGAGACGGGACATTAGAAATTAGAATACCGCAGTTAGAAAAGTCTAGTAGGTGAAACCGGTGATAAACGACGTTTGAGACGTTGGTACCTCTGATTTGGTGGCTCTACACTTTAGCGGTGTCTTTTTAAACGCGTAAATAATAAAAGTTGAATTCAAGTGTCTAGTGGTCAGACATCACAATAAATGCATAGTAGGTACATCTATGACACTTTGTCCCGTAGCTTACCCTGTGCTTTTGTGTATAGGAAATAAATAAATACAATCCGAAAACGGCAATTGAGTGCCTAATTTTTAGTCATCACCCGGAGCATGTGGGTATTTGGCTGGGAAATCAGCCTGCAGCAGATTGGATGCCTTTCCAATTATGTATATTAATTTTTTTTCGTAAATACCTGCTAAATATTTTTTTCACAGTAAAAATTGAACATGTTGGTAGAGTTCATACTAATAATAGGTAACTATTAATTACAAAAAATTAGATTTCCTTTAAAAAACTGAGAGATATCATAATAGATATTGTTTAGCTTAAAGGATTTATTCCGATAAAGAACAGTGCGATTTGCAGCATTCATTTATAGCAACTTATTTCAAAATTAATCCAAAGTTACAAACCCCTGACTATAATATAGTTTAAACTTAAAGCTTAATAAGTAATAAGCATTTTAACAGAATACCTTTCGATGCCGTAACGATAAACCGAATGGGTCAGTCGTATTTCATTTCACCTACTCGACTCACGTGAATTTATTAATCAATTAAAGTATTTAGTTAAGTGATTTAAGTATATTTAATAAATATCTTATCTTTGAAATTCATTTAAAAAATAATATAATTGTTTCCATAGTGAACGCAAATCTACAAAACCCCAAACGGATATAACCGAGAGGGAATACACCAGGAAGCAGTTGCTGCTTGTATTTAAATAATACAGCTTTTCTATCTGTTTTACCCAGTTATAATAGAAAAACAACGCAAAATAAACCGAATATTTACTTAATAGAGAAATACTTTAGACCATTGTATTGTAAAACATTAATAAGTAACAGTTAATATTCTTTATTTAATCTTTTTTAGTTTCATTTAATGATTTATTCACTGGAATTATTATAAAATCTATAATTTTTCAGTTCATAATAATTTATAAGATCAAAATACTATTAAGTTATATTGGAGTCTCAGTCAACATTTTAAAACACATGACTAATAAAAAAATAAGATTTTTTTAAATCATACTAATTTATAAATAAATTTTTTATCACGAGACTTACGCAATACATAAATACTAAATATTGTAAGAATGTAATTGTACATATATCTATTAAACACTATTTTTATTTAAAAAACAAGGATTTTAATTTTTAAAATGAATCTAAATGTTAAGGTAATTTGTAAATGATTATTGATATGAAAAAATAAACAATACTTTCCTTAGTAAATTAAACTAAGATGAAATAATAAGTTAATTAAAACTAGGTAAAGTCTTTCTTACAATTATTATTCAAGCATTACAATTTTAGAACTCTATTAAATATAATAAAATTTATCATATTTAATATGATTAACTTAGTGTTTATTATTATATTCACAGTTCCAACATTCCAGATTGCCAGTAACATACATATTTACCTGCAAATATAATTTTTTCAATTTTAAGTACATTTAATTGTAATATATTGTAAAAATTAAAAATATGAGTTAGAATATAAAACAATTAAAAAAATATTATTAATTTTGTAATTTTAACATATTTTTTTTTACTATTTTCTTAGCTAAAATTTAAAATATTATATGACAAAGAGATTTATAAAATCATTAATTAAAAAATTTCATAGAAAAAATGTTAAAATATAAATATTTTTAAATGACAATCAATTTAATTAATATTTATTATCCACGCACAATATAGGTATTATTATTATTATTATTATTATTATTATTATTACTGTAAACATATAAAAAGTTGAAGATTATTATTCTTACTGAAATAATTAAAAATGGTTGGATTTTTCAATATGGTGATTATTGTTCCAATTTCCCATTGTTAAACATAACTTTTTAACTATTATAGTTGTATAAAATGAATGTTCAAAGCCTCATAACTTGTAAGCTTAAACTGTGATTAATGCTCGTATCATTCTAAAAATGTTAAGCAAAAAATATTAATATGTATTAATTTATGTATTATTAAAATAAGTACTTACCCGTATAAGTAATAAAAAAATGAAAACAAATAAAATGTCAACTTTATCCAACCTTCACGTTGATATTTATTTAATTTGTCAGCATTCATAATACTTGTTGGATCATAGAGACCAAAACCAGACATCGCTGGTCTATTTCGATACCTAAAATAATAGAATAAAGTATTTATAAATATATAATTTAAAAATGTATAAATACTAAAATCAATAAAATCTATGCTCACTTACTTTGAAATATGATAAGCCATTAATGGAACATTAATAGCAATGGATAACCACTGGCCTCCAAACAAAAACAACAAATTGGAGAAGAAATGTAAAATATATTCTGGAATCACTAACTGAAACAAAAATTATATAATTTTTAATCATTACTTTTATCATTTACATTAGAATTCTTCACATTTATTGATACAATTTTACTAATTGTAAATGAATTAATTTATTATCAAACCTAAGGATTGAACATTATCTGTGTTTAAATGTTGGATTTTCACTAAATTTGAATTTGAAGTTAAAATTTAATATTTAAAAATTAAAATATTGTAAAATCCAACAAGAAAACACAGATAATGTTCTTTCCTTAAGGTTTGATAATAGGTAAATTCACTCTAATATTTAAGCCAAACACATAAAATTGGAATTATTGGACATAAGGTTTGATATATTATATGTGTTAGTAAGATGGATATAACATACTCTTGATTGCTTTATATTACACTTTTATTTTAATGAAAAAAACTAACTTATTACAAGTAGAAAATCTGAGTTTAAAATCAGACATCATACATGACATATTTTTTAATTTTTTTTAAAAAAGTGAATTTTATAATACAAATTAAAACAGTTAACTATTATTATCATATTCTTATGAAGTTATTTTTTTTTGATTAACTTAGAAAAATGATTTGAAGAATTGAAATTATAGATAAAATATATTATCACTGGTCTTAGTTAACATTATTTACACTATTAATCTAAATTTAATTTTTCTTGAAAAATAATGAAAACTTGAATTTCATCAAAATTATATTCAAAGTCATATTTTTATAAAAAAGGTAATATTTAAAAAAATTAATTAATTAAATATGCATTATAAAACCAAAAATTACTCACTAATCATTGTGTTCATAATCCATAACAATAAATACTAATAAGTCCCATTTACATGGTAAAATATTTTTGTTTAAAAAAAAATTCTAAAACATTTTAAATATATATAAATAAACATTAAAAAAATAAATATATTTATTAATTATTAGCATAGTTGTAGTAAACTAATTTATTTTACAAATTATTAACTAAAATACTTAATATCCAACATTTTCAATTTAAATCCTATCATAAACTCTTTCATACTTAATATTATACATACTGGATTTAAGCTGTTGCATTGATCAATAGGATTCTTACTGTCATTTTTCAGTTCATCAAACGCAATAACCTATAACCAAAATAAAATTCAGTTAATTGAGTAAAACAACAGCAAAAACAAAAACAAAAAATGTAATAATAACAATAAATCAACTAAGTTGCTCTATTCATACATGCTAAATTTGACATAATATAACGAAGTAAATTATTTGATAAATTCATAAAAATAGATAAATAAATGAACGCGTAAGCACCTACATACCCTTATAATTGTTCTAGTTAATAAATATATATGGCATAATCATAAGTCATTTACATCCATTTAGAAAATATTTTAAATTATAAACATGAATTAAAATATAAATATTTAAATTATAAAACACTTTTTTTTTGAAAAATTATAGAAGTTTATTGATTACAATCATCAATTTTAGAATTAATTTGATAACATTAGTGTATTAAATAGAGTATTTTGAAAATACAAAACTTTCCTTTAGCCTTCACGTATTAGTTTTTGTTATAATTGTAGATATTTCTAATCATATAAGTAATAATTATTATTGTATCTACTATTAAAAAACTTAATTTCATTTTTAATATAAAATTGTAATTGCTTATTATTACCTATCTAATTCTTAAGTAGTAAAGTTACAAAGTTTACACAATATTTTAATAACTATAAGTATGTAATTTACATAATAGATTAACCATAATTGAATAGATAGATGTATAAATATATAATACAGTTTAAAAATAAGTATACATTAATTTATGGACGGCTATACCTTTTTATCTTTTAAAAAATTATGGATGAACCACTGTTTATTAAAATAATTTAAAATCATGTGTAGTAATTTTCATAATTAAAATACTTTATATAAATATTATGCTATTAGTTTAGTATAAATTTTTTTTTATCATATACAAAATCCTAACATAAGTATAGTATGTTATGTGTACATAACTTTAATATAATTGTATAGGTACCAGCCTATAACAAATTACAATCAATTCATTGTTATAGATTCAGTTTGAAGCAATAATTGATTTGATAATCACTAAAAAAAATTAAAAATTTATAGACGGAACTGATGTATGGACAAAATGTGCATAATCTAAAGTTTGAAGAAGGCATGATAAGAGCTTAACTGTGCTTCAAGTGCACTAAAAATATATTTTTAGAGTATTTAAAACTTCGAGATTTAAAAAATATATTTTATACAAGGTTGACTTTTCTATTTTTCACATTTTGTCGCATAACTAAGAGTCTAAATAATTATAAGTGTGACTGATTAGTTCTCGATCAGTTAGATAATACATGTATTATAGTTGTTTTAAAGTTAATTGAGTTACGAAAACCAAATAATACAGTAGTGATGAAAGTAAATACTAATTAGTATATTTAGATTATTTTCATCTACTACATATCAAAGAGCAATGTTAGTAATGATCAAACAAATGAGCAGCTAGTAGTGAGATGGTATTTAGAGACCTGAGTATAGTCTTAGGTACTCACATGAAACACCGAGAAGAACAATAGAAAAGCGTCAGATATCATCGCCACGATGTAAGTGCATGCCGGGAAGTTAAAAGACATGATTGTTGGTAGACTTTCTTGTTGTGTGCACAGCTGCAAAGTGTCTCAAATCTTGTGAACGTCTGTAAAGTTGGTGAGATCTGGGAAATAGAATCAATTAAATGTCTGATAATTGAAAGAGCCAAAAGAGTGTGGGTCAGTATATTGAGTAGAGAAATAGATCAACTAAACAAATTCCGAGTGTTGAAGGTCTTACCGCTTAACAACTGGAATAACAATGATTGTCAACTATAAAGCTTTATTAATTGTGTAATTAATAATTAATAACGACAAGGCACGCCGTTGGTGAAATCGATTGCATTAAGCATTTAAGCATTATTCATTAGGATATGTAGTGATAAACTGATAACTGATAATGATAACAAGAGAATATTATTTTATCATCGTATCTGTCATCCAGGCGTTCGAATTTTTTGTGCTTTTTTTCTTTTCATGTAAAAATCACTACATGGGGGGCCTAACTGCTTTCACATTGCTTAACCCCCATGAAGCATCGTTTATTGAAATAAAACAATATATAATACAAATTTGATTGAAATCATGAGCCCATAGAATACTTTCCTCAGCGAATGCTAGTATACGTAGACGGTAGATCACAAAGACAAACCGATGACGCTGAACAATAATTATTACACATTTTAACATTTATACTACATATAAATAAAAATCCTTATTTCATACCTATATTTAGTTTTTTTATGAAATAAAATTTTAAGAAAGAAAACATAAAATTTCAGTTGAATCAGTTTAAAATTTAAATAATCAGATACATCATGAATTGTTAACTATAAAATCTTCTCTTGATAAAAATGAAATAAATATATTAGTTTTGATACATTAAAAAATCATGATTTTATTTCATAATACTGTAGATATACAAAACTAAAATTTTCAATTGTTTATTAAATTAGTCAATTTAGAAATCACAACTCTGAAACCATTACCATTAGATAAAGAATAAAATATAAGTACGTTGACTTGTTAAAAAAATCCATAGATAATTAGTTTAATTACATTTCTGTTGTATCATAAAAATTTGTCTCTTGAAATTATTGGCTTATGTGTGTATTAGTCTATCTATTTTGTCCATTTTTAATTTCTATGTAGGTATTTAGATTATTTATTTTATTCTTGTTTACTCTCTTATTTTTATTTTTTAAATTATTATTTTATGATTATATCTCTTTATTAGTTGTGTTTATTTATAATGAAAATATTATAAAACTTAATTATTGAAAAGATAATAAATATTCTCATGTATGATTATTAAAATTAATAAAATGATAAATATGTATACTTTACATGAAATTTTAGTGACATAATATAAGATTATTTAGTATTAATACACAATTCGCTTCCAAAATAGGAAAAATAAAAAATCGAACATAAAATATTTAATACAAAACAGGGAAAATCATTTAATTGAAAGAATAAATAGCGAATAAAAAATAATGGAAAATATAAAAAAAAAATTAATATTATGACAACAATTATTATTTTTGTTATGTCTATATTCCATACATTGTTTATTTTTATTAATATTTTATAGATAACTAAAAAAATAATAATAAAATATTAATAAACTAATATGTCAAATTATGGACAATTCTTTTAAAACAATTTAAATCATCATTTTCGTCGTACATATTTACTAATTTTTGAATCCGTTCAGCCGAATCTTTGTACTCCTTTTTTCCCTTATATCGGAGATGGGCAACTCAAAGTAACTAGCGGGCCACTTTTAAGTACTTTAAAATCTAGTGGGCCGCAGTGCATAGGAGAAAGCAAAAAAAAAAAAATAATAGGTCCTTCAAATTTACTAACATTTATTTTTTATCTTTTTTTATTTATATTTACAATTATTATTTAATGTGATACTTGAGGATGAGGTTTTTCAATAGACAATTTAGTAAAATCCACTTCTATTTCTGTAGTTGAAACTTTTAGAAAATGTCCCAAGGTTTCATCTGTTAAACGATTTAATAATTTAGTTTCGGTTTAAAACTAGATAATAATTTATATCCACATTTTATCGAAAAATGTAATAAAATAAAATAAAATACAGATAAGCGCTAGATATCTTTAATTTTGCTTCTAAACTGATAATTTACTTATGTCTGAAGAAATCACTATCGATATTATTGTCATTCGCTTTTATCTAGATTCGTCCAAACAGCTTTCGCTATTTTTAGTTCACGGTTTTTTTTTCGTTATTTTATTTTCGCTATATTGACGGGATACCTTAATGTACATTTAGTCAAACCATAAATAATAAATTAATAAAAATATTCTAAAAACTCACCACCGTGTATTAGATGGTAGTACAATTTTTTTGTATTTATTATGTATCATTATTTTACCAAACACGCATTCTGACCGTAGTTATCAATGCAATTTAGATTTAACTTTTATTGCTATCCTATGTATACTTTAAAGTTTAAACTGAACCGGGTTTTAATTTATCTACCGTACGGTAAGTATTTATTATCAAAATCATTTTACAACGCATCTCTTATTTAATATTTATCAAGTGTTATAGTTAATTCGCGGCATAGCGAATTTCAAAGTACAGGGGGAAGCGACGAAGCGTTTATTATATAGAGAATTCGTTACATTGATATTCATATGATGTACTTTACGATATTTTCAAGGGAACGACGGTTTCGTTCGTTTTATCTATATTGTATTAATTATACCGAGCTTCGTTACAATTAAGTTAACTGTATTTGTCTCCGTCAATATAGTATTCGTGCATTTTATGTAACTCAACGGCGTAACATCAAGAGAGACTGTAAAGATGGATCTGCGGTTTGAATGGCATATGGTAACGTACCTATTTCCTTAAGATCAAATTTATAAGAAATCCCCCTGATTGGTATTCTTTTTGTACATTTCTATTATTATTGTTAGCATACGTCTGGTAATCGTCGGTTTTCGGTTGTGTGGATATGTGTAATTAAAAGATCATGTATTTATTTAATATTATTACCATAATATTGCCCGGTAACCATTTGAAAGAACTGATAGGTTCTCGTGTGCGGAAATTATGTTCAAAATGTCACGAAACGGTTATTTATCGTCTCGTTGTCATATAATTTTCGTTTACACTTTTTTCAAGTGAAGTTTTACGCCTGTCTAAGCTTTTTCGAAAACAACTTATTTAAATTTAATTTACTCAATTTTATTATACTGTCGTTATTGTGTCATGAAATAATTGTATTTTGTCATTATTTATTTTTAAAAAGCAAAAAGTTCTGTTAGCTTTGGTTGATAATTGGTATCACATCAAATAAATGACCAAGTATTTATGGTTACGAAAATCAAAAGAACATAATATTATCTTCCTGAGTCAGTATAGACAGTATAGTAAGTACTAAGAATACTAGCAGCATAGGGAAAAATATATTGTTCAAAGAATAACTATTGCTTTGCGTAAGTGTTGTCATTATTACTGCTGTTGTCACCGATGTGCCTCAGAATCGCATCTGGGAAGTTTCAAACGTTAACATCATACAAAATGCTAACATCACGTTAAAATTCAATTAGCCGGTAACTATTATAAGTTAATTTTAAGCAGTATTTTCGTACATGTCGGTGTGTGTGTCTGTAAAATAATTTTCGTATCTATTTATCGAGTTTAATACCGTAATCATGCGCTATTATGATTATCAGTCTACCGCCGTTTAACAACAGTAATTTGATTAATTTTAAGTGAGTGTCGGTCCGGTACGTCTGTGTAATTTAACGATTCCTATGTACTACGTAGGTATTCACTATATTGCTTAAATTAGCTCATTCTGTAATTTTTCTCCATTGGTTTTTGCTGAATTTCTACCGTTCTATTTATGTAATACCAATAATACCATCACTGGTCCGAGATATAGTTGAAACTAGAAAATCACAACTTCATACCTATATTTAGTTTTTTTTATAAAATAAATATTTTTAATTTCAAATAATGCATTTAATTTGGTTAAATCAGTTGAAAACTTATATAATCAGATTTGTCATAAATTATAAATTTTAAAAACTTCACTTAATACAAATTTGCTATAGTAGAAATCATGATTTTATATTATTATCATTACTGATGTACAAATCTTAATTTTTTTATGTTAATAAAATAGTTAATTTAGATATAACAACTTTGAAACCATCGCCATTAGATTCAGCATAAAATGTAAATCTTAATTCATAGTTTATTGTATCCAAAAAGTTATAATTAAATATTATTTTTCCTACCTAATCTAACCTGGTTTGAGTTCATTAAAGTAATAAATGAAAATATTAAGTAAATGGTCACTGTTCTATTTTTCACATAATTATCCAGTATATATGGATTAATGGTTTCTAATATAATTTGGTTAAAGTTGATGTCATTAAGGATTAATAAAGTGGTTAATATGACATCACACCCGTATGTGTTATCTTCCTCTTTTAAATGAATATCATAGTATTATTTCAAAATTCTTATAATTTGATTCATGTTTAAGATACCTTAGATAAAAATATTACCTATTCACGTCGCTGCCTTTCTATGGTCCGAACCGGTCCGCGTAATCGCGGAGTGCAATGAACTTTTCGGCGACCCCTTCTTCTATAACCACGGCCTTTGTCGACACTGCGGTCACTCATCATACTATCTATATCCAGTTCGTCTCCGTCAGCGTGTGAGTGACGGGTCGTGTCCGTTTTGTGTCGCCTTTGTTTTTGGTGTAAACTTGCGAAAATCACCTTAGTTCTTGCGATGTGTATTGTCATAATTAGTAATTACGCTTCTATTGTCTTTATATTTGAAGTGCTCACGTCGCGTCGTAGTCACCGACGTCGTATTTTGGATTCACCGCCTATTGGACTTAGTGCGATTGGACGTATACGATGTGTTCCATGCACATATATTTTCCTCACTTCCGTTCGATTCCATAACATATTTTAAGGATATTGAAGTGCGAAATCGCGGCATAGTCATCTATAAATTATATTATAGGTACGTGATACATCCATATTGTTGCATCTCGACGACAACGTCGATTTATATATCAACGCAGAAATTAAAATACTTGATATAATTAGTAAAAAGTAGGTAAATCTTTATTTAATTTAGACTTAGATAGTTAGATATAAAAATACACTATTACAAATACAAAATGTTGGTGAACGGTGGTAAGACTAGACTTCAACAATACTGCTAAACAAGATCGTGAGTGGTGTTCGACCGGCCTCTGAGCGTTTTGAATATCCCTAACAGTCTGCCAAACTCTTGCCCAGGTCTCTCTTGTAAATGGTTGATTGACAAAGAATCAATTGCGGCGGTGGTGAC